CATAGTGCTCCATCACCCACTTAAGAAACAAGAGAGAACACTCACAATCTTTATCTACCATTACACTCACTCATTCCCCTCCCTTAGAAGTGGTATTTGAGAGAAAGGAAACCCAACAAGTTTGGCCATTTTCAGACTTGACAAGGGCTGGCGAAGAAAAGGAGTGTTAAAGCTAGGAAACCCTTTTTTCTTGGTTATTGAAGCTCCCAAGGTAAATATCATAACCCTTCTTGTTGGATTTCATGAAAATGGCATTAGTTAGTTATGGAAAATTAGGGATTCCATGACTTGTGAGTTGGAGTATCAACCCATGTGTAGAAATACATGTTAGGTTAATGAGAGTGTTGAGTTTTGGTGTAAAATGGTCACCATTTTGTGTTAGTTGTTGTTCTGACTATCTGATGCGAAGTATCCGGATATGGTATGCAGATATACGTATCCAGATATAGCACTGTGATATATCCATATATTCCCTTATATTTGAGTTAAATGATATTTCACCTATGCAGAACCTTCTAATGATGATAAGAGAATTTAATGGGGTCAATTAGAATCACCTTACTATGAATTTAAGTCTCCACTTAATTATGCATTACTTATGGTTGTTAGAAACCTTAAGTATTAATGATGTGAGATGAAATCTTGATAGTCATTGTGTTCATTGGTTTATAGTGTAGAACCAAGTGAGCTAGTGCAAATAGATCAAGAATTGGACCAAGTAATGGAACATGACCTTAATTCTTGATTGGTTGAGAGTGAGGTAAGCTTCCACTTTGTATCATTGTAGAAATGATAATTGTCGCATGATGCTTGTTGTATGATATATATAGTAATCATACTTTCACCTTTGAAATAGGCGTTGTTGGTAGAAATTGAGTAGTATTACTATTAAAATTGTGGACCTTACTTGGGCTTGAAGAAAGCTTTGGTTTGAAGCTATTAGAGGTAAGCTTTCGGTCTTTAGAGTTAATCCTCTATCTGTTCCACCAAACTCTAAGAGAGGTGGTTTACATACATGGTATGTTTTTGGAAATTGAATTATGATATGATGCATTGATATGTATGTTTGCTTGTGTGTCATACAAGATGATGTTTCCTTGTGTGAGGCATAAGATGGTGTTTTCTTATGCTTAGTATAGGACGGTGTTTCCTTATACTTAGAATGATGCAAGACGATGTTTCTTTGCGTAATTCATACATTGTAAGTGTTTCCTTTATTGTTTATGTGTCAAAAGATTGCTATGCAAAATGATTTGTGAATGTATAACTTGTATGCACCCTTATGACATTATAACTTAGGTAACAAAAAAGTGTATGAAATATATGATATAAACCTTACATATGATAAATATGTATCAATGTTGTATGAAATGCCTATTAGATCCAAGATGTAGAGTTTATTGAGAAAGAGGTTGAATTTTGGAACCCTAACCCGAAGCTGGATATTTCATTTTCATTGCTGATATGAAATATCTAGATATTGGAAGTTCAATATCCGAATATCAATATCTGGATATGTCCCCGAGGAATATCCGGATATTCTGGGCCAACAGAAGTTAAAACGAATATTTTTCAACAAAATGCTGGAAATAATTATAGGGTACTATGAAGGCATATACATAAGGCTTAAATTCAATTTCTAAGGAATTAAATGGAATTGATTGCAATATATAAGGAAAAAGAAAAAGTTTATTCATATTTTCATATTAGAACTATTAGTGAATTATCAAGTAAGCTTCCGCGTTTATTTATTTAAACATGTTGCGGTTAATATCATATGTATGTTAATACACCGGGTGCACACAGGGTGTTACAAGATGCACCCTATTCTCATCGAAATGTACTTGGTTATAAGATTTTTGCATATGTTTCAAAGGAACAACGGTTAAAGCTTGATGACAAGACCATACCTTGCATATTTTTAGGTTATGACACTGAAGAGTTTGGCTACAAATTATTGGTCCCTCTAAAGAAGAAGATTTTCAAAAGTAGATATGTTGTATTTCGTGAGATTGAGAATGTTATATACTTGAAGAAGATTGTTAAACCTACTCAGAGTGAATACGTCATGTTTCACACTATCCATTTCTTCTTCTTCACATTGTGCCATTGGAGGAGAAAAGGTCCATGAAGAGTATATTGATCTTGAAGGTTCAGAGACAGTAAATGATATTGATTATGGAATTACCAAGTAGAGAGAGCAACCCCCACAGGCAAAGGTTGCAGACTAAGTAGTTCATGAAGAGTGTCAACAATCGCAGAAATATTTCACTTCTAAATATATCCTCCTTACTGTTGAAGGGGAGCCTAAATCTTTTCAAGAAATAGTTATCAACAGTGACAAAGACAATTGGATTGAAGCTAAGAGGAGCTGAATTCTTTGCATAAGAATCACACTTATGACTTGATAAAGCTTTCTAAGTGCAAAAAAACATTGAAGAATAAATGCGTATAAGAGATTAAGAGGGATGCTAATGACAAACTATTGAATCATAAGCTCAATTGGTGGTAAAATGGTTCAGACAAAAGAAAGGAATTGACTTTTATGAGATTTTCTCTCCAGTTATGAAGATGACGTCCATTTGAGAAATTTCGGGTTTGACAACTAGCTTGGATGTACCCTATATAATTAGTTTATAGAGTATGTCACATTATTTATTTCATTTCAAAATATTGTTATGCAAATTTAAAGATAAAAACGTAGTTTAAAGATTAGTTTTGTCACATCGTAAATTATAGTTATATAGAAACTACAACTTACAAAGATAAATTTAAAAGGATGCAAAAAAATAGAGGTAAAGTCAATAACTCGCAGGACTAAAGTCATAAACACTATATATAGTTAAGACTTTCATACTTCTACATCAATATTTTACGGCCAAAAGGATGTTAGAAGAAAACATCCTCCAAAATTCATACAGCTACATCTCTATGCCATCATATAGAGGCATAGATGTGCCTAGAAGTGTAAATAGGTTGGGTTGGGCTAGACTTTGCCTTAAAGAGGTCAGACATGAGTAAAAGAACTTTATGTCTGACCTAGTTTGTTAGCCTTGTATAAGCTTAAATTATAAGTTTGGCCTGACCTATATTTATAAAACAAAACCTTGGCTTAAGTTTGTTTTGGCTTAAGTTTGTTAGCCTAGTTAAGCATATTAGACATTCAATAATTAAAAAAATAATTAAAATAATATTACTTTATTATTCAAAATTATTAACATAATAATTTATAAGGAATGTTACACTTACAACCTATTTTTGTTTATAACCTATCTTAACCGTTGATTTTCTCCTATCAACTGTTATTATTTTCGTAAATTAAACTCATTAATTAATTATTAATTTATAATAAATGATAACCGTTGATTGACGAAAATCAACGGTTAAGATATGGTTATAAGAGGTTGTAAACAAAAATAGGTTGTAAGTATAACATTCATCATAATTTATTTATTTTATTTAAAATAAATAATATAATATAAGCTGGTCTGTATGCTTATAGGCCCGGCATGTAAAAGAAAGCATATGGCCTACTTTCTAACTAGGCTTTTTTGAGGCTTGAACTTGTTCTATTTGACTATATATAATAGGTCGAGCCGTAGGCCCCTGTTAGGTCAACCGATCCATTTACACCCCTATATGTTGCGGTATGTCCCTCATAAATTAGAATCTACATCTTACATCCAAGTCCACATTAATAGATCTTGTCTGTGTCTGCTAGTCTGGAAGTGTTAGATAACAAACAAAACACACATGTGAGAAATATTCTTAATAATCTTAAGGGTTTTCAAATTATAACATTTGTAGTTGTGTTTGCACAAAAAATATCCTCTTCTTGTGTACTATGAATATATAACAAATATATTAATGAGATTAATATTTCTCATATTGTAGGAGATAATTTTATCTCCTACATCCACATAAAAATGTGGGAGATCCATATTAGAGAGAAAAATATAATATGGATCTCACACACTTTTATATGTGTACTGAAAATAAAATTATCTCCTACAATATGAAAATTAAGTGTGAGAAGCTTATAAGTGATCAAATTCTAAGTCAAGAGACATTCCCTACTATATAGCCTATTGAATCTATCATTGTCAAGGTCAGTGCCACATTAACATATGTTTGTTGTGTGAGAGGCTTATATGTTTTATTTCCTCTTTTCAATGGGACCCAAATATTTGTGGTGTGTATAAGAAGTTATTCTTGTTATATGAAAAGTGTTTATATAAAATTAATCCCTTAAGCCTTACTTTAATCATTAAGGAATACAAGTTTAAATGAAGTTAAATTCCAATTAAAGTTACGAAACAAATACCAAATATTATCTAAAAGTAGTTGAGTAAGTATCTAAAAGTAATAAGTGTTTAATTGACATGAACGTAAATAACACTGGCCCACTAATATTTTAATAAATCATTATTTATTATCATATCATTTTCTCATTAATTAAATTTAAGCTATTAATTAATGATGTGCCTAAATATTAATGGATGTACATGTAATTTTTTTTGGGAACACAATGTACATGTAAAATTACTTTACACTCACCTTACAGTTACACATCAATTAAATTGAAATGATATTTTTCAAAATTTTCATATATAAGCCAAGGAAAAAGTAATTTTCCTTTAAAAGTACATAAATTTTATGTCCAGTAAGTCAAACACACATTATAATATTTAGCTAATTAAAATAAATAAATAAAATTTAATAAATAAAAACAATTAATTAAATTTATAATAAAACACTGTAATTTCACATAAAAATACAAAATTGATTTATTTTCTCTTCTGGCCGAAAGGAAAAGAAGAGCAAAAGTTTAACGGTGGGTTTATTCAAAACTATCAACGGTCACTAAATTCAAATTTGAATGATCCCATCCCTCACCAAAGTTATCTCTGAAACTTTCTTTCTACAACGAACATCTCTCTCTCTCTCTCTCACTTTTTCTCTCAAAATTCATTCTTGATTGCCAAGACTCCATCTTTTACATGGACCCAATCCAATCGAACGATTTTCAGAAGTACCCACAAACCCTAATCTCAGAGCTTGAAGATTCTGTCATGGAAGATGCAGACGAGTCCTTGTTCGATTCGATGGTTTGTGATTCCAATTCAAGACTCATCCTAACTGGGTTTACGAGATCTGACAACGCAGGTTAGAATCTCCGAAATTGGGGTTATTTTTTTCAGGACTGTGACATTAGATTAGAAAAGGTTCCATTTTCCCTATTTATACGGAAAAATTCAGTCTTTCACCTTTTCCCTTTCCCAATTACGTTTAAAACATATCTTCTGTTGCGACTAATGTTGTTCTGCAAATGTAATAGCCTGCCAATCACATTTCTGTTTATTCTCTCTACTTAGTACTCACAAATGTTAGCTGGCGATTGTATAGTGAAGTTTTCATTGGGGTTTTAGAATTCTGGTTTAGGCTTGAGTGAATTGTAATTGTAATTAGTTTGTAAGTGGAACGCTAATCTGGGTGCCGCAATTTTAGACCAACATTTTCGAACTTTCAGTGAAGTTTCCTGAAAAAGCGAAGCATTTTGTTCCAATAATCAAGAAAGGGCTTAAGATTTATACTTGTGTAGTTATTTGTAGCTTCAAGTGTTTACTTTAAATGTCATGTCTTTTGAAGCAGAGGAGGAGTATTTCATGTTTATAAATGCCGGAGGGGATGCTTTTAATGAAGCAGATGGTGGACTAACGTTCCTGGGTGACACATTTTTTGATGGTGGCAACGCTATGCGTACCGATGAGCAGATAGTGGGGGGTGGAGATTACCCATTTATCTATCAATCAGCTCGGTTGGGAAGTTTTCATTACAGATTTGATAATCTTCCTCCTGGAGACTATGTTGTTGATCTTCATTTTGTGGAGATCATTAATATAAATGGGCCAAAAGGAATGAGGGTATTCAATGTATACATCCAAGAAGAAAAGGCTAGTTTTTCCACACAAACTAGACTATTTTATGCATTTTCATTTGACAAATTTATACAAGTAAAAGCTTCAACTCCTTTTTATTGAAATAATATGACAGGTTCTATCTGAATTAGATATCTATGCGGTTGTTGGAGCCAATAAGCCACTGCAGTTGATTGATTCAAGGGTGACTGTGAAGGATGATGGGGTAATTCTCATAAGATTTGAAAGTATAAATGGAAGCCCAGTTGTTAGTGGGATTTGCATTAGGAGAGCAACGAAGGCGTCAGGTACTTTAATTTCTGTTTTCAGTGCTTGATTAATTGCCCTTTGGCGTAGTTGTTACTCAGCAACTTGCTTTCTACTTTGTCATTTTCTTAAACAGTTCCACAGGTGACAAGCGATTACATTAAATGTAACTACTGTGATGCGCAGATTGAAATTCCTTCCTCACAGGTTAGAGGTGCAACCTAGTTGATAAGTGGCAGTTTGAAATGTGAAGCGTCATAGACTCACAACATTTTGCTTTTCCTACTTTTCATTGGAATGTTTCAGATGAAAGTTATGCAGACAAAATCTACTGCAAAGTATGAGAATAAGATAAAGGAGCTCAAAATGCAGTGTGACCTCAAGGCAAAAGAATGCTATGAGGCATGGATGTCATTAACTGCAACGAACGAACAATTGGAATCAGTCCAGATGGAACTTGACAATGTGACATTTAAGTCACTCATTACTGGTATGTTCTGCAGGGTTTTCCTACAAGTGTCTTCAGAAAATTTAACTTAAACTCAGTTGATGAGATTCATTGACGTGTATATGTAGGAACTTAAAGATCTGATTTAATGCATAGCTTATGGTCTTTATAAAATGTAATACAGTTAGATGTGGCTACATATCAATGCCATCATCACCTTATTAAAATGTAAAACATTCCTAATTTTATTGTTAATTTCCTTCTCAGATCAAACTGTGGAGAAACAAGCTGAAAGCCTGAGGTGTATCTCTAGCATGTACGAGCTTGATAAGAAGAAATGGACCGAAGCAATTAGCAGTTTACAGGAAAAAGTAAAGGTAAATGATGAAAATTCTGGAAGGAGTTATGTTTTAAGTTATTATCATTACTTTTTTATTATTCTTTGAATTACATTTTAAGAGTATTGCACCAAATTTGTTTTGCAGTTGATGAAGAGTGACTGTATTCAACTTTCCTTTGAAGCGCATGAATGTGTTGATTCAATCCCTGAATTAAACAAGATGGTTTTTGCAGTTCAGGAATTGGGTATGCTTGAGTTACATTATTTAATCTCTACTTTTTTTTAATGAATAGTTGTACTTAATTTTGGGCTTTGAAATAGTGCAAATCATCTTAAGGGACTAAAATCTCCTTTTTGCAGTTAAGCAGTGTGAAGATCTCAAAGTGAAGTACAACGAAGAGATGACACAGAGAAAGAAGCTCTTCAATGAAGTTCAAGAAGCTAAAGGTATGTTCTCATGTCATGTTTACTTGTTCTACATAGTATAAGTGGACTTGGTTCCAATCCGAGGAGCATTACTAAAAGTCAAATGCACTAATGCGCTTCTGTTTTGCAAAATAGGGAACATTAGGGTTTTCTGTCGTTGTCGTCCACTGAATAGGGTTGAAATCTCAGCTGGGTGTACAACAGTTGTGGATTTTGAAGCAGCAAAGGATGGATGCCTTGGAATTTTGACAAGTGGCTCCGCCAAAAAATCTTTCAGATTTGACAGAGTTTATACACCAAAAGATGATCAAGGCATGTGCAATTTATATGTCATTGTTTTTGAATTGAGTACAAGATTCATATTATTTACACAATTGGAAATTTTCTGTGTTTGCTTTAACAGTTGATGTTTTTGCTGATGCCTCATCGATGGTAGTATCTGTGTTGGATGGCTACAATGTTTGCATCTTTGCTTACGGGCAAACAGGAACAGGAAAGACATTCACCATGGAAGGAACAGAGCAGAATAGAGGAGTAAATTACAGGACTCTTGAGCACTTGTTTAAAGTTAGTAAGGAAAGGAGTGAAACATTTTCATATGACATATCTGTTAGTGTGCTTGAGGTTTATAATGAACAAATCAGAGACCTATTGGCTACAGGGCAAACATCAAAAAGGTAATTTCTGTTATGTTTGTCATTGATTCCATTCATGAGACATTCTGGTATAGTAAAGCCTTTTCAAGCATGCTAGAGTGTGCAATATCACTCAGTCTAAGCAGGAAACTGAAGTAGCTGGAATGATTTCTCTTGAAATGGTTATCAGGTTGGAGATAAAACAAGTCTCTGAAGGATCTCATCATGTTCCTGGTGTAGTAGAAGCCAAGGTTGATAACATAAATGAAGTGTGGAATGTACTGCAGGCCGGAAGTAATGCTAGAGCAGTTGGAAGTAATAACGTTAATGAACATAGCAGTCGATCTCACTGGTACTGTGCTCTTATATTTTTCCCTCTTTCTTACAATATAAGAAGCTTTCCAATATATTTCTAGACCTCTACATCGGTACGAGTTTTTCTTTTTCTATACTTTTTTAATGATCGCTTGTTTCTTTTTCAGCATGCTTTGTATAATGGTAAGGGCTAAAAATTTGATGAATGGTGAATGTACCAAGAGCAAGCTTTGGCTTGTGGATTTGGCAGGTAGTGAGAGACTAGCAAAGACTGAAGCGCAAGGGGAGCGGCTGAAGGAAGCACAAAATATCAATCGATCTCTTTCAGCTCTTGGAGATGTGATATCCGCTTTAGCAGCCAAAAGTAGTCACATTCCATACAGGTATATCCTCCCTTCTTTTATTTACCCTTGGCCACCTTAATATGTAAATATAAGTTTCAATGATGTGATGCTATTTCGTTTTTGAGGTTTCAGGAACTCTAAATTGACACATTTACTTCAAGACTCGCTAGGTGTGTCTAGTTAGTTCAGCTTTCTTTGTGTTTCTTGTGCATTTATGAGGAGTAAGATCCGGTTTCTGCAGGAATGTATTGGTAACACTCCTTGCATATCTTTTTTAACATATTGCAGGAGGTGATTCCAAAACTTTGATGCTTGTACAAATAAGTCCATCAGACCAGGACTTGGGTGAGACTCTGAGCTCGCTTAATTTTGCAACTAGAGTGAGGGGGGTCGAGTTAGGTCCAGTTAAGAAGCAAATTGATACAAGTGAAATTCAAAAGATGAAAGCAATGGTAGGTTGCTGATCCTTACTGGAACACATTAAAATTTATTTTCTATTTCCATGTTCTATAAATAATTTTGTGTTTTCTTCCTTTTACACTATGGCATAGCTTGAAAAAGCCCGGAGTGAGTGCAGAATTAAAGATGAATCTATGCGGAAACTAGAAGAAAATTTGCAAAGCATGGACAGTAAGGCCAAAAGCAAGGATCTTATTTACAAGAATCTACAAGAAAAGATTAAAGAACTCGAAGGCCAGATTGAGTTGAAGACAGCCATGCAAAACCAGTCAGAAAAACAAATTTCTCAGTTATCTGACAAATTGAAGGGAAAAGAAGAAACCTGCTGTACTCTCCAACATAAGGTTGCTTTCTATTCGAGATTGCTATTGATTTGTGATTCGTCTGCACATTGTTTATCAGTAACAAGGATTGGTTAACATGGTTTTGGTCTTAGTTTGTGAGCTCCAAAATTCCTAAAAGTTTGACACCAATATCCTTATTGATGGGCTAATTGGGAGACCCACATGGAACATACCCCAAATGACAGTGACTATTTTAGTTTATAATTTTAATAAAATAACTTTATGTTTTACCTTGGTTAAACGGGGTCATTGGACTATCATGTCCTAACTAGACACTTGTTTCTACTGAAGGTCAAAGAGCTAGAGAAAAAGCTGAAAGAACAACTACAGTCAGAGACAGCAAGTTTTCAACAAAAGGTTTGTTACTTTGGGAAATCCGCTTCCTTCACTTCACCCTTCTCTAAATTCTTTTTTCTTGGAAAAATCTTATTATGAACATGCAGTATCATATGATGAATAGTTTGACCGATCAACTAGTGTGGTTAAACGAAAAGTTAATTCAGTTCTTCTACGTAAGCAGGTTTGGGATCTAGAAAAGAAGCTGAAAGATCAAATGCAAGGGTCAGAGAATGAATCTGCCATTCTAAAAGATAAGGTAGTCAATGACTAGAGTTGTTCATAAAATAAAATATTCTGCGTCTTTTCGATAAATGTATATATTCAATGACCTCTCTTCATGTTGTTTATTGCTTTATACTCTTTCAGGTCAAGGAGCTCGAGAGAAAACTGAAAGAGCAGGAACAGAACTCAGAATCCTTGCTTCAACAGGTACTTCATACTTATCCTAAGAAATTTGTTTCTGTTGCATACACTCCTATACTACATTCGAAATGCTTTTTGCTCATGGTCAAATTTAGAAGCTTACCATGATCTATTCATGTTAAGTTAAGGAGAGTAATAGCATAATATGTATTTTTAATTTATCTATAAAATGTAATCTTCGTACTTACCAAAGAAGAAGTTTACTATGATCTATTCAGGGTAAGTTAAGAAGAGTAATAACATAATGTGTTTTTCTAAAATATCTTACAAAAGTAATCTTCTCTGAATAACTCTTTATAAATTGAGTGTTTAATGTTTATCATTTATCTGAGCTTTGACCTTCTTTGCCATCTATTGAGTGAGTCGTTTTATATATTAATTCATGTGGCAATGTGTCATGGCAGATGAAGGAACTAGAGGAAAGGTACAGAGAGCGAGAGCAACAGTGGCAACAAACTCATTGTTCTGTTGATGCAGTAAAGGCAACACCTGACGTAGTAGGTAAAAGCTGCAAAAGTGATGAATGTCCAAGTGAGAATGAGGCTCGCATTTTAAGGTGTTCAAACACAGTAAACCGCCAGATAAGTCAAGGTTCTATTTTGTTCAAAGGGAATGATTCTACTCAGCAGATAAGAAGCAAAAGAGAGTTCAGAAGCAATGAAACAGAGAACAACTTTGTCATGTCATCATCATCTACTTTACATGATAGAAGAAGAGTCACAAGGAAATCTGATCCACCTAAAATAGTAAAGGTTGGAAGGCCAACTACGAAGCCAGTCATTGCTACTCAAGCTCCATTGTCTCACAAGAGAGCTAGCACAAGCAGAGATAATGTTCAAGGAATTAGAGAAAGGGATAGTAAGAAGAAAATTTGGTCAAGATAGCATATCCAACTCAATTGATATTGAATAATCTGTGGTATTTTTCTTAATGTAGAATTCCTTCTCTTATGGTGAAGCATGAGTTGTAATTGAAATTTTCTGTTTAGAAATTACAATATATGCAATCATTATTGTGTTATATTTTAAATGAGATGACATATATTTTATGTACACCGTCTTACGAATTACTAATGATATTTTAGTACAATTATAAGATAATCAAATGTTTCTTATAACTTTCATTACATCAAACGTAATTTATTAAGACTTTGACCTTAATGTTAAAATTCTTTTTGAATTGGTTTTTGCGAATGATTTAATAAAATTCGGGATTGCTATTTATATGCATGTGGCATGGGTGAAATGGGATCAAACCCAAAGACAATAGTTTTTTTTTTCGAATTAAATAAATCTACTTCTGCGTAATTTAATTTGCTTATTTATTATTTATTTACTTAATTAAATATCAATTTTTCATGGATAGGATTCTATATGTATTAATTGTATCAAGTGTGTCATTTTTAAACAATCAATGTCTATATATTAAATTAGAATATATTAAGTGACATAGTTACTTAGTATACTCTTCATTAAAAAAAACACATGTCATTTTAATTTTTTCTTCTTTTAAATTTAAAATTCAATTTTTTAAATAAATTATACATATTTTATTTATGATTTTAATTTTTTTTTTAAAATTTAAAAAACATCCGTACAATATATGAAATATTTTACAGTTTATTTAATTTTACAAAACATGATTTTTTTTTTGGTCATATTTACCAACCCTAGCTTGCCGAAGTAGATTGTTTCATAAAAAATAAACCAAAAAAAAAAAAAAAACGGAAATAACTTAGGTGTAAACGTCAAAAAGAAAAAAGGAAAAAGAAAGAAACAAAGAAAGAAAGAAAAGAAAAGAATCGTTCTATTTTTTAATTCCCCCCTTACAAATTGCAATTTACGTTAAGAACTTCAAATGCACTATTTGTCAAACTTAGTTAAACTCTCGATATAATATTTTCATTTCAATGGAGACTTATGTATTGCTCTTTTTTAGGTAATCAATTCTCGTATTACTGGAGAATTTGATCCCATTCCAGCAGATAGAGGCATATGTGGGGGTCATCACATTTTTTTTGAAAAAAAAGAAAAAAACAATATTGCAATTTTCGATGTCTCCAGGAGAAATTCTTCTTCTTCTTTTTGTAAATAATTTTTTTTTCAGCAACTAATTATATTATGTACTATAAGTAGTTTATAATTATAGGGTAAAAGATTTTTTCTTGTCATCGGAAATAAAATTATCTTCAGTGAGTTCAAAATGACGTCGTTTTAGGACAGAAATTAAGATATTTTTGTAATTATAATATATTGCAGGGTTATATTAGTCTTTGTCATTTTAATTTTTTAATCTTGTAACTCAAAATGACATCGTTTTAAGCTCACTGGAGATAACTTTATCTCCGGTGACTGAAAAAATATTTTTTCCATAATTATAATAATAATTTTTTTTCTTAAATATTATCGACTGACGTGATGAAAAGAGAAAAACTAATTTTATAATTACACTATATATTACCCGATAGTATAAAGAAGAAGTATATTTTTCAAGATAAAAAAAATAAAATTCATATCCGTATCAATCTAAGTTGTTTTCTTTTGTCTTAGGTAGTGTTTGGTTCGGTAGAATTTTTTTTTTTACTAGGGAAATGGTTGGAAATTGAGTTTGGTAGGAAAATGTAAAAAAAGTTGTTTGGTTGATCCAAATATTACCTGGGAAATTTATTTAAATATGCAAAATCTATGTTCGGGAGAAACTTTGCACCTGTTTTTTCACTTTCTCAGTTATCTCAAAATACCACATCTCAAGTGGTATTCTGTAACAGTGAATTTCATGCAAAATCAACACAAAAGTCATTTTCCCACATATCCTATTTGCCTAGTATATTTTGAAAAAACCTTAACCAAATATGATATTTTTCAATATCCACTTACGCTTTTTCATCAAAAATAACCCTTCAACCAAACACTAGCTTAAGATCGTTTGAATGGATGGGGGGAATCGGAGAGGGACGGAAATTTTTATATATCCACTCAAATTTACACTTTCAAGCAATGTTTAGAGAAAAACAGAGTTTAACGCAACTTATACTATTTTATATATATATATATATCAAGTGTTGAGCCTAAGGGTCGTTTGGTACGCATTATTTTTTTAGATTTTCAACAAATTGAATTTTTTTAAATTTTTAATTTTTAGATATTATCCTAAATTGAATGTAAAAATTATATTTCTAAAATTCGAGATTTTCGAATAAAATTTTTTTTTTTCCTCTACCAGACCCTAATTCTTGGCTGGTTATCTATATCTGTCTTTATCGCCGTCACCACCCTGAAAACGAGAATAATGCTTTCGTCTTCGGCAACATTTTTGTCTTCAACTATTGTGGCCACCGGTTTTGGACTCATGAGAGAAGATTCAAAACCGACACACCCTCCACCAGCCACCCTCATCATTTCACTTCTTGTCCTTTCGTCCACGTCCTTCTTTTCGTTTTCACGTGCTTTCTCTTTCTCTTTCATTTTCTCATCCTCCTCCAACTTCTAAACTTTTATTCATAATTGGTGGCTCATGTTAGAACTTATTTAACATAACCTTGATATTTTGGGAGGGACAATTTTGTGCGAAGTAGCATTCGACCGGATCCTTTTTAGATTAATGATTGGGATGAGAGATTGTGGATTAATTCAATATTTTGAGAAAATATACAAATTTAGATTTATGCATATAAGTTATAATATATATTTTAAAATTAATTATATTAGTATAAATATATTAACATGTCATGTGAAAGGTATTAGTTTAAATTAAGAATTTTATTATTTATTATTAATTTTCAAAATAATTATATATTTTGAAATATTGCGGACATCAAATTAGATTAGAACAAGTCGAAGTGTGATTGGAACTTAGCTCAAATTTAATTTGTAAAAACTGAACCTACCACAATTAGCTTGGGGTCGGGATGCGCGATTAAGACAAAACCAGTTTTGGACACTCCTCATAGTAATAATACGTTTAATTTGCAACCACATTTTACTCACATAAAATTTGGAAAAACGTACTCTCCATTGAAAGGCGACAAAAAATTTTATCCGTTGAAATTTTTTACATAAATAAATTTTTGTCAAAATTTATAATGGAATTTAGTTTCTGTCAAAAGTTTTGACGAAAATAATTTCTTAAATATTTTCGTCGAAAAAAAAATTCCGTTAAAATTTTGAAACAATACTTTTCGTCCAAAATTTTCGATGGAAATATGTTTCGACAAAAATTTTGACGAAATTTTTAGGGAAAAATGTTTCTGTCGAAACTTTCGGCGAAATTTAGAATCCATAAAGAATTTTGACGAAATATTTTTTCCATCAAAATTTTTTACATAAATGTTTTTTTTCGCAAACTTTTACGAAAATATTTCTTTTGTCGAAAATTTTCTATGAAAATATGTTATGTCAAAAATTTCAATGGAATTTAGATTTCTTAAAGAATTTTTTTCGAAATTTTTTTTTTACTGAAATATTTGTCATCAAATTTTTTTATGGAAATTATTTCTGTCAAAAAATTTCGATTGAAATGTGTTCTGTTGAAAATTTTGATGAAAAAATTTTTCGTCAAAAATTTCGACAGATATTTTTTTTGTAAAAATTTTTGAGGGAAATGATTCGAGGGAATTTAGATTCCACAAAGAATTTTGACAAAAAAAATTTCTATCAATTTTTTTTAAAGAAATATACGAAAAATATTTTTTACGTAAATATTTTTGGTCAAAATGTTCGCTGTAAATGCATCCTGTTGAAAATTTTGACCGAAATATTTTTCGTAAAAAATTTTGACAAAATTATTTTCTGTCGAATTTTTTTTATGAAAATGTGTTTCATCAAAAATTTTGACATAATTATTTTTTTGTTCTAAAGTTTGACAGAAATATTTCTATCGAAAGTTTTGGCGAAATTTAGATTCTATTAATAATTTTGACGAAAATTTTGATAGTAATGTTTCTATCGTATGTCAGTGATTATGGCAAAATCTCTTTCCGTCTCTAGTTTTGGCGAAAAAAAATTTCGTCTCTATTTTCGACTTAATATGATTTTTGTCAAATATTTCATCATTATTTTTGATGAAATTTGTTGTGTCGATAAATTTTGTCGATATTTGTGACTTTTCTAATAGTTTCACATTTATGTAGTTTTCACATTTTAATACTATGGGTAAATAAGTAAATTTTAATATTTCCCCCTCAAACCTCCCAAATTAGGGGAACTTTAATTTTGAGTGTGAGAGGGGTTTTGGAGGATTTTGCAAAAATCCCCAATTCCCTTCCCCCATTTTTTAAACTCACAAACAAGGGAAGAGACTAATAAAATCCTCCCTTTCCTTCTTAAAACTAAATCTCAAACAAAGCCTAAAAAGGTAAATTTACATGACAAAATGTGATTTATTCGTCTAAAATATTAGATCATAACTTAATCTCATTTTTTTTTTTGAAACACCCCCCCCCCCCGTTACTATTTTATTACGAGTAGTTATCATTTTTATTACAATTCAGTGTGAGGGTTAATATACAAACCTTACGAGTTTTTGGAAATAACGATAAAATGCCCCACTTTCTCGTACCTTTCTCTTAGTTTTGTTTTTATTGTGGTCGGCCCACCTTAGACTCAGTCCATTGGACCCAATATCAAATGTCCATATCAAAAATCTTGTAGAGGGAATCCTATGATAAGCTTACATGGGATCTCCCTTCTCCCCATGCACTCACGAACAGTAGGGCAGCATACCTAGCCTTAGTGACTAGGCTAGCTAGGTGATACAGCTACACATCTCCCCTCACGTTTCACAGGGGATCCTCTCTCTAAATACCCCCTCACACATTGAAGGGGTACTTCTTCTCTATTCTGTTGAATTTAGTATGCTCTTTTCACTTAAGCCCAATGACTTTAGT